AATACAAATACTTATATTGAACGAATATAACTTATTTTTTACTTAAATTTATTTTTGAATGCCAAAACTTTTAGAGATTCAGGTCGGCAGTTGTATGCCGTCGTAAAGCAAAGATAGGTTGGCTGTTTGTATTTTTTTTTCAGTATTTGTTTAGACTATTATTTATAGTTTTTATTACTTTAATTTTTGATTCACAACATAACATGGCTATTATATTGCTTTGAATATATACCATAATCAGTTTTGAAAAATGTACTACAGCAGTTTATTAACTGAAACAAAAATCACATTTATATTGGTAATATTTTTAAGTTATAATTTTAAACTAATTTGTTGATTTCCAGCAGATTTTATTTCTTTTGATCGTTTTGAATTTAATAATTTAGTGTTTATAGCTGCTTTTAACTTATGTAAAGCTTTAATAAATTTAATCTTCTGATTTTAATGTGTAATAAATAATATAAAAGATTGGAAAAAAGATTAAGTAATAAAAAAAAAAAAAAACAGATAAGTAATCTTTGATAAACTTTGTCGTGTTGCTTTTTTTTGTCTTCTATTTTTTGTATTAACAGTACTCTTTATTAAAATTGTTATTATTATTATTATTATTTTATTAATATTGGTTAGTTTTTTTATTTACATTATAATTATAACTTAATTTTTTGTTTAAACATCTTTTAACGGATATATTTATAAAAATGTTTTTATAAAAAACTCATAATTATGTTGTATAATTTGGTTTATTTTAAATGAAAATTTCCTATGTAATGTTTTAAAAATTTTTTTTAGTGTGTGTGCAATTTAAAGTAGTAAAAAAAAAAAGATCACAATTTTCAAGATTCTTTCAAGATTTTTTGTTATTACTATTAATTAAAAGTGAAGTTTAAATGGATGATATAAGGCTAGAAGTGGCTATTAGTTTAAAAAATGATGGAAATGTTAATAGGCAAGTTGAAAATAATCGTCGCAGAAATGCAAGAAATAGGCTGAGGCGAGATGAAATTAATAATCAACAAAATGCTAGATATGCTGTTCAGTAAGCAGCAAAAACTTTGAACTGAAATGAGGAGGAAAAAAAAGGGCAAGATAGACGTCACTATAATCTCCCTTCACATAATGAAGTACCACTTGTATTTGTTGGTGAAGATGGTGCTCCACCTGCTTCCAGGGAAGTTGTTATTTTCCCAAGAGGTCATCCTCTTAAAATATATTAAGTATGTCTGCTAAATTAGAGCCTATGGTTTGTTCTCTATTTTTTCCAAGGGGTGATGCTGGTTGGCATTATCAATTAGTTCACAACCCTGAACATGCTACAATCAAATTGGTTCACAACCCTGAACGTGCTACATTGATTAGAAATCATGTTACATTATCTCAGTATTATAGTTATAGACTTTTAGTTGGACAACTAACCTAAACAAAAAAAATAGGTGAAGTGATTTTTAGTAACTTCAGATCACTTTGTTGTTACTTTTTTATTACTATTAGAAGGGTTAATAATAAAAAAATTTTAGACAGTAAAACTGGTACTGATTTTAGTAAGTTTGCTATATTTTTTTATTTAATATTTTCACTAGATTTAATAGATTTATTCTTTATTGAATATATTATTTAACATGAAAAACTGTCTGTGATTTGTTGACAAATAAGTTTATATACATAAATGGGCCTATATCTCAGTATATGAATATATTTTATATATCTCTGTATATGAATATTTTCTTTTAAAAAATATTTATATATATACATGCTCTTGAATTCCTTTTTTTTTTATTACTTTGGAGTAAAATATATTGACTGATATTGCTTCATTTTTTACACTTTTAGATTATGTATTGTCTAGATTCTTTGTTAAATTACAATTTATTGATTTAAATTTTTATTTTTATTTTTGATAAATAACTTTTATCAAAAATAAAAATAAAAATTTATTTACATCAATAAGGAGGCGTGAACTTCCTATTAAATGCTTATCCTAAATTAAATAGTTTTAAATTTAAATGATTTTAAATTTTTTTATAAATTCAAACATAATTATGTTCTTTTTTTTTAGTTGCCTTTGTTATCACTTGATTAGTTTGCTTACTGTTGAAACATGGTTTTAATTTTGTAAATTTAATGATATGAAATTTACTCTATTAATCATTAGTTGACAGTTAAAGAGAAGCTGGAACTTTACACAATAAAGGTAAAAATAATTTTGTTTACTCTTAGATAAAAGTTAAAAAAGAATTAGTACATGGAGCATCAATACAACTTATATAATTACTTTTTAGTTAAAAAAAAGTAATTATGTAAGTTTTATTAATACCACAATTGATAATGACCATGTATATAAAATATTTTATGAGCTGCTTGCTATTTTATGATAAAATTGTTCAATATTGTAATCAAAAAATCTTTTTAGTTCAGATATTTTAGTTGATAAAATATCTTAATTTGTGGTGTTATATGTTATTATGTTACTTACTGCGTTAATTTGTCTTGCCTTTATATAATCTTTTTTTTTTTAATCATTTTGGAGAGACATAGTAATGTGTGCTTAAAAATATCTTATGCTATGCACTATTGTTAATGTGTTTTGTTTTGATAGAACTGGGCTATTACAACAATTTTTTCAAGTCTTTATATCTTCATTCTACCAACAATAAAATGCAAATAATAATTTGTAATTAAAAATTGTAATTATTTTTCATTCCTTTTTTTAGGCATTGGAAGGCTTTACTTGACTTTCTTTTTATGGTACCTGCTGTGTTGTAACAGATTTTAAAAAGAACTTAACTAATGTAAATGTAGTCTTTTTTTGTTGTTAACTGTAAGCAATGATTTAATTATTAATAACCTGCATTATGAGTTGCTTACTGCTAGTTAGATATTAAAGATGGAAAATATAAAGCTGTCACAAAATGTGGTATAATTGATCTTTGGCTGGAAAGAAAAGCTTTGAAAGTGTTTCATTTATAGGACAAACAGCTAGTGAAGTACAAACTGAAGTACTGAGTATACGAGCTTTAGTACGTAAAAGTTTAAAACCTTGGCCATGACGAATTTTTTTTATCACATTAGTTAAAAGATTAACTTTGTTTTATTTATTTGTATATTTTTTAAATACATATTAAAAAAAATCAGAAACTGAGATAGTGAGATTTAGTTGAAAATTATAAGAATTTAAAAAATATTTAAATTTTAGAAAATAGACTCAAACAATAGCCATGCTATTTTAGGTGAAACTATTTTAATTCAAATTTTTTCTGAGAGAAGGCCAATTATAATTTAAGGTAAACTAAAACTGCATTATGACATATGACATGAAAAGGAAAGATTATTTGGCCTCTACTCTCACGTCTTTAATACACAGGGAGGAGGGGGGTACACAGAATTTTAGTCCAGATCTAATAAATAGTGGGGTAAGAATTAAAAAAAAAGGAGGGGGGATTTTACACTGGGGTCTTAATAAGCTTAGAGTGGGTGGGAAAATTGTCAAAAAGTTAATAAATGTGTACAGTGAAATTAATAAAATAACAGTTTTAACTAAGTAGATTTCTAATCAAAGTAATTTATTTATTTGGTTTAAAACTTAATGTTTAAAAATGAGCCTTAATAGTAATTAAGTTGTCTATAGCCACAATAGAGCAGAACCAAAACATCTGTGACCCTTTTATTTAAGCCAGAAAGTCAGGTGAGTAAATTAGAAAAAGTTCAATGTTCTTCTTGCAAATGATATTTCAAAAAGTGAAACATGAAAAGCAATGCATATTTGGAAATGTAAAAAATGTTCAATTGAAATCAAATACACATTTTTAAATGAAGACAAATGGAGACACTCTATGCTGGAAAACACCATAGAGTGAAAGAACATGCTGGAAACAGCATAGAGTGAAACAATATGATGGAAAAACCATAGAGTGAAAACAAACATGCAAAATAAAGTCTTATTCTAAACAAGTATTTTAAAAGTACAAATTTCACAATTATTGCTCGTACTAAAGTGCTATAAAACATTCTGAACCAATTTTTTAAAGTAAAAAAACCTATTCAATAATTGATATCTTGACACAATCAGATAAAATTCTGCAAATGCATTACAAAAACCAGTTGCTTATCAAACAATCAATCAAATGTTTATAAAATATCATCATTTATCAAACTACTGTAAGTTCTCAAAACCTTGATCACTAAAAAGTGATAAAAGTATAGACACCATTTTAAGACCATTCTATTATATTCTATTATAATCACAGCTAAAACAAACACTAGTTAACAGTGAAGCATATTTTATTATATATATATATATATATATATATATATATATATATATATATATATATATATATATATATATATATATATATATATATAGAGAGAGAGAGAGAGAGAGAGAGAGAGAGAGATGACCCACATCTCTCTCTCTCTCTCTCTCTCTCTCTCTCTCTCTCTCTCTCTCTCTCTCTCTCTCTCTCTCTCTCTGTGACCCACACTTAGCTTATGCTACTTTAATAAATATTCAAAAAAATGTATACACATTTGATTGTGATTGTTTTCAATGCATCAGTCAAAGCATGTACAACTAATATACAAACTTGTATAGCTTTTTACAAGTAAGCCATAATTATCATTTAAACATAACTTTATACACAAATATAGATAATGATGTAAATCAACAAGAGAGGAAAAAAATTTAAAAAAATTCTGGAGAGGGAAAACTGTTTTTATAAAAAACAGTTTATGTTCCTGTGTAAGTTTTTAGACAACTAAATAACAGCTTTTAATCAGAGAATAAAAAGATGGAAATAAGAATATGTCGCATTTTAGACAATTTCCACAACCATAACCAGCCTCTCAAACATTCGCAATTAGTTTATTATTTACAACTTTATTAAATATTATTACTCAATATACTTCATATATTAGAAAAACTAGAAAATGGTTTCCACGCAATTGTTTTCCACCTTTGCAAATATGATAAATATAATTTAAAAACTAATTTATATTTAAAAAACCTGGTGTTCCTTGAACTCCATTAGCAGATATGACTGTTAAATCACGGGATATTTGTCCATCATCTTCAGAATCTGAAAGCCATTTGCCACAAGGAAACTCAAATGTTTCATTCTTTGAGTTTTTAACAACAACCTATTTACAAGTTAAAACTTTATGGTTGCAGTATATATACAATATTTTAATTAAACTAAAAATGATAAATACCTTATCAAGAAACCACCCTGCTGCAGCTCCAGTATTGTCATGACGTATTCTTAATCTTGTCAATGAACCAATGTCAGGGCATTCAATATTAAATGTATCAACTCTGGATTTAATTCAAAAATAAATTTACTTTTATTTAAAACAAAATATTCAAAACTTAAAAACATATAGATAGTATAAAATAATATGAATATATAAATAATATAATAATAGTATAAAATAATATAAATATATAAATTTAAAAAAACAACAAAAAAACATAAAATGCAAACTTTAAGTAGGTCACAACTAATTAAAAATTAGTTGTGACCTACTTGCACACAAATTAGCTAATAATTATGAAATATCTATATGGTTTGTTTGCTAAAAAGATACAATAACAATAGTTTGCTTTTTAGTTAATTTAGTGACTATTTGTTGTTAGTATTAAGACTTTAGTTACAGTGTATTAGGTCAGTATATAACTTTTATTACAATATGGTAGAGCAGTGTTTAGCTTTTGTTAAAGTGTGGTAGGTCAGTGTGCAACTTATTAGTAAATCAAAATAATTTTTTTCTTGATCCTCTTTCAACTTAAAAAATATCTTTTTTGTACTTAGAAATCACTTTAGGTATTAATCATTATTTCTATTAAAAAATATTTTATACAGTCAATTAAATAAAAACTCAAGTTCTTTATCACAAAATTTATTACAAAAAATAAAATTTAAAAAATATAAATTATGTAATAATATATTGGTTGCAAGTATCGTATTTAATAAAAAACAAAAATTTTACTTTTTGCGTTCAAAATTGTTTTTCGAATCATTTAATTGCATTTCTGTTGAACAACCATCTTTGCTGAACAAAGTAACATAAACATTAGCATCTGTGCCTGCGCCTCTCACATCACCTGTGTATGTGCTTATGGTGTATTTGTGAGCTAAAATCCAAAAACTAATTTTTTAAATTTAACTTTTAATTAAATTTAAAAAATTACACAAAATCTTGACGTTTAACATTCATAAGCTGGAATATAATCTCTAAAACCTGAGGGAACATTCTCTAGACTTTTTGTACCAAGCAAAGTTCTAGATATTTCCTTGTCCCCTTCATCCTTTGAAAGCCACTTATTGCAAATAAAATACCATTTTTCTTTAACATTTTCTGTATTTGTGATGATCACCTAACCAAAAATTTAAAACTTATAACATGATTTTAATGATATAGATTAGGGTGTCCCAAAAAACAACATATTTGACAAATATATGCTGCCACCCCTTTAATGTCTTCTATATGATAAAAAAAACACTGGATTTAAAAATTTTTTGAATAAAAAATATTTTTAGGTGTCCCTCAAGACACTTGAACTTTTAACAAGTTCCTAATATTATCATAAAAAAAGTTCTTCAAAAATGTATCATGTTGGTTCTTAAATAAAGCAAAACTATATGAAAATTTAAAAAATGATAATTATAAAAAAAAATAATTGTTAGATTTAACATCATAAAAAATGAAGTTTATTAACTAAAAATAAAAAGTGCATTTTTATCAATTTTTTTTTGACAATTTTAATTAGAGACTTAACATGATGATTTTAATATGACACTTAACACTTTTAAATAAAAATTTTTTGATAATATTAGGAACTTGTTAAATGTTGAAGGGTCTTGATAGACCCCTATACATATTTTTTAATTTAAAAATTTTTTAAACCCATTGTTTTTTTATCATATAAAACACATTAAGGGGGTGGCAGAAAATATTTTTCAAAAATGTTATTTTTTGGGATACCCTAATACACATAATAAACAATAAGTAGATATGTACTTTATCCAGAAACCAACCAGGTGCAAAACCAGTGTTGTCATGATCAATTCTAAAAAATTTATTGAATACTTTTTTTAACTTGTATAAATTGGCATGTATTTCGTTGGGCATTTTAAATATATTTAAAAGATAAAATATGCAAAATTAAAAAAATAAATAAATATAAATAACTAAATGTAAAATTAAAATACATTATTTTTTGTATCATCCCTAAGTACTTGGTTTTAATCTTAAAAACATCTGTCTGTGATCTTTCGAATGTGTTTATATTCCTTTATTAAAAAAAAATTATTTAAATTCTTTTTTATTCAAATATTAAAAATTACTTTTAAACTTTTTTTTTAAATAAATACTTATTTATAAGCTGAACTCTTGGTGCAGTTCCCTTATCACCAAACATAGTTATAAAAACATGAGCATCTGTACCAGCACCTTTTACATCTCCAGTGGTAACACTTATTTCGTAAACTAAACATAAAAAGATCCAAATGCATAAAAATAACAATTAAAAAAATATATTGTACAAAAAAGAAAAAAAATTTAAAATTTGATACAACATGTCACCTGATTCCTAATGCTTTTTGACATATTTTAATCAAGTTTAACAAGAGTTTGTTGTTTAATTTTTAAATTGCTAATATTAAATTGCAATTAAACAACTACAATATAAAATTATATATATATATATATATATATATATATATATATATATATATATATATATATACATATGTATATATATATATATATGTATGTATATATACATATATATATATATGTATATATATATATATATATATATATATATATATATATATATATATATATATATATATATATATATATATATATATATATTATGCACCAGTAATTTTAAATTTGTAGAAAAATCAATTTCTTCATGCAGGATTACCTTTATTAAAACATAATAAAGGTAATCCTGTAAAGGTAAGACCATATGCAAATAAAACATTTATAAAAAAAACATAATTTTAAATGTTACAACATATTTGGGTTTAGACAGTTAACAAAAAATTTTTTAGGTATTCTTGTTTTTAAGTTAGAAAAAAAAAACATTCATCTTTTTAGTTTAAAATCTTTAACTTAATACAAAAAAAATAAATTAATGACTGGAAAGTTTTAACTTTTATTTATGTTTACTTTTTTCTAATGACACATTTCTTGTACATGTGTGTGTGTATATATATATATATATATATATATATATATATATATATATATATATATATATATATATATATATTTATATATATGTATATATAAAATCTATTGGTCAAAGAAATATAATATTAAAAATATTTAAATTAGATTCTTTAAATAAACAAATAGCACCATTTCTATATTCTTAAAGAGATGCTGCTGACAAGAAATGGGTAATTACATCAAAAAACATCAAACAAAATAGATTTTGTTTGTCACCAATGGCAACTGAAAACACTGCAAACTTCTTGAGATGTTAAAAAAAATAATCAAAAAAAAAAGTTTGTTAAAATTTATCCTAAAGAATTTCATTCCAAAAATGCATTATCTTGTTTGTTTAGATCACTAGCTTATATTTAGGTCACTGTATAATTATTTTTGAATGTGTTTTAAAGGAAAACATGGTCTTTTTAAGTAGCAGCAATTTTTGAATTTTTTTAATTTACCTAAAACACTTGCATTTCATCTTCAACAATGGATGCCTATGCAAATGTATTTTAGATGTTATCCTAGTTTATTTTTTTGTTATACATTTTCGTGCCTGTATTGTATTGTCGTGTATAATAATTCTATGTGTTTATATTTTCTGTATGCTGTCTCTTAATTTGGCTGTATCTGTGTACAAAAACATCCAGATATACAGAAAATGAAATTAATAGATTTACATTGCTATATATGAAAACAAAACAATTTGCTGATATGTTAGCAAACAAGCTTGAAGCTTAGAAAAAGAAACTATGTGTTATGTTAAAACAACAAGCATATTGATTATGAAATTTGAAAACATGACATTGAAAATATTAGAATGACAAAAATAAAAGTTGTCAAACGAGATACAGTTAGCAGAAACAGTATGTTTAGATTTTAAACAAATATCAACGTAATAACTTAGAAGTTCTTTTCTAAACATGTTTAAAAAACTTGTATATAGAAACACTAAAAAGTTTTAAAGTTTTAAAAATTAAAAACCTAAACCTAGTTTTTAGAATGTAGAATATAAAATTTCTTTTAAGTTTAAAAAATTCATTTTTAACTAATTTTCAACTTAAAGTGAATGTCATGTTCACATACAGTAAATGTCACGTTTTCACATTTTCACAATCACGCAGTGATTGTCACATTTTCAAATGAAGTGGATGTTTGCAATTTCAAATAAAGTGAATGTCACATGTTTGCATGAATTTCACAATTTCACATACAGTAAATGTCACAATTTCACATAATATGTCTAGTGCTCAAATACTATAAATTTCACATTTTCACATACATTGAATGTCACATGCTCAAATAGAATAAATGTCACATTTTCACATAAATTGAATGTCACATGTTCACATAAAGATATTGTCATATTTTTAGATACATTTAATGCAGCTCACCTACTCTTTGAGACTTCTGTTCATTATTTGAAGATGGTTTAAGAGTTCTTTTAATTTGACAGTCAGACTCATACAGTGATAACCATGATTGACATGGAAATGTCCATGACTTTTTTGTCTTTTGATTTTTTACCACAACCGCATCAAGATACCAACTTTGAGTTCTCAGAACGCCATCATGCTATAAATAGAAAAAGTTTTTTATAATAAATTCTACATTTAAAAATTCAATAATAATTTCAAAAATTTCATCACCAAAATTATTAATGAATAAATTTAAAAAAAGAGACAAACTTAAAGTAAGAATGATAAAGGGTAAAAATATATGAAATCATCCAAAAAAAATAATTTTTGACACCCTTACGTCTCAGAATTTGTTTATTTTTACACCACTTGCAGTCCATATCAAAAAAAAAAAACAGCAAAAATTTTAGTTGAAAATACCAATGGGTTCCAGAGATATCGTCAGTTGAAATAATGCTGACTCAGCATTTTAGTGATTTTCTGAAGCGACAACAAAGCAACTTTGACATACAGTATCATCATAATGGCTTGGGGAAATTTCCTAAAATTTGGTACTCTAATAGATTTTAACTTGAGGAATCCAAAAATAGCACTCTTAAGACTCGATTATCTCAAGAAATGCCTCATTTATCCAATTTTGTTCAAAATTATTGACTTGTAAGTTAGTAATTTTTGGAGGTAAAATAAAGACTGTGGCCCAAAATCCCGAGTAAAAATTTTAATTGTATATCATTATTTCATCTTAGGTCTACTGAAAAAAATTAGATTCATCAATTGTCTCTCTAATACATGATCAAAATTTGCATTTAAAAATGGTGTCTTTTTAAAAAAGTATAAATTTTGTAACAAAAGCAATTAAAATATTTTTTTAAACATTTATTTGAATAAAACATCAAATAGTGTTATTTATTGACTAGTTTAAATTTAAATAAACATTTAAAGTCATGGGCCAAGGGAGATGCCCTCCCTACCCATGGGAGGCCCCTCCACCCCCCTCCCCAAATCTCCCTAGATTTTTTTTTTTTTTTTGCATAAAATGAATAAATAATAGTTGATTGTTAAAATACATTTTAAAAACATATTTTTTCAGTTTAAGTTTGAGAAACGATTTATTTGCGTTACTTCAAATCGATAAATACTTACCTCTTATTTCAAAGATCTTTTTACGATTTTAAGTCATAAATTTCAAAAACAAATGTTTTAAAATGTTTTTAAAACATATTGACAATAAATATCTTTATGTAGTTTTAGACTAATATAGTCATTGACATAATAAGATAGGAGTGATTTGTGATTTATTGAAACCCCCACCCCTCCTTCTCAACCTACAATCCAAGGATTTGAAAAAAATAAAAAACATTTAAAATGCAAATTAGGTAAATAAAATAAAAACAAAATTATTTTAAGCATAATTAATTTTTTTTTGTAACCAACAGTTTATATTCTCCAAATCTAAATCAGTTATGTTGTATGTACGACCTGATATTGTTGTGGGTGTAGAAATTAGGCATATAACTTCAGAATTGAGCACCCAACACTCATCAGTTCTTATTGGCCAAAAGAAGTTTTTACCTGGTCCAGGTGGATGCATGAATCTGACTTTTATATCAAGCTCATTTACATCTTCAGCAATCCCTAACCACCAAAATCCATCATAAAAACATGCAATATAATCCATTTTTTTAATATTTAATGAAATATCTACATAATGTTTGCTTTTTGGAATAATATCAAATATTTCAGTGCATGCATCAATACTTATTTTTTTATAACTTATAGTGTTTGGAGCAATTGGAATAAAATGATGATACATCCTTGTGCCAGGAACTGTTCTTCCACCTAAATATCTTTTTTCTAATTGTGCTTGTGTTTGATCAATTTCTTCTTTTGAAAATAACTTAAAAAAATTCCATTTATCTTGGCTTTACAAAAGGAGTACATTAAATTAACATCTAAAATCTGCCCAGTAGTTATTTGTTTTAGACTTTCTTGACATACTACTCTTTTAACAGTCCCACCAATACCATCACAGGGGGATTTACCATGACTGGTAGCAAAAAATACCCATTCAGCATTTAAATCAAAGTCTTTACTGTGATGACAAAGATTGATAAAATTTTTAAAATTTTTAAATTGTGCTGCACAACTATCAGAAAAGTATTTCACACTTGATACATCAGGTAGATTTTCTTTGATATATCTAGTTATATCTTCCTGAGTCTTGTAAATAAATCCTGTGTCATGATCAACATCTTCTGAAAGGTAACAAAAAGATTTATGTTTGAGAAGTTTGTTCTCTATAAAATAAAGTACAACTGTATAAAGTGAGCATTGACTTTTGCTCCAGTGATAACTTTGAACCTCATCCTGAACAACATATTGATAGTTTTCAGCAAAATCTCCTAAAATTAAGCATTCGTTTTGGTTAAGATTTTCTTTACAGTTTTTTAAGTATCTATCTTGTGTTTTTGCAATATATGAATGAGTGGTAAGGTTGTCAATACTGTCACATAATAAATCAATAAATTCATCTAGTGGCAATGACTGTGAAAGTAGTGTTGTACGATCTGTACTCTGCCATTGCTTAAATACTACGTCTTCTTCATGCTCATGGTCCATAAACTCCTGCACTAAAAAACTTTTTAATGCTTCAATACCAGGACATTGCTTACATCGATGCAACATACATTCTGCATTTTTAAGAGAGCAAACAATCAATGCCATGAAATCTTTATAAATTTTATTCCACCTAATGGCATCAATGAGAAATTTTGTATTTTGGTGATGTATGCAAACACATACATTGTGGGTACCTGACGCATTAGTTGTAATACACCATTTAGGTTTAAGAGTACAAAACTTTGACAAACTGACTTTGACGTTAGGGTCTTTTTTAAATGCAACATGTAGTTCATTAAGATTGAGTAGCAATAATCTTTTTTGAACATGTTGGTTTTTCTAATACTTACATAATCTTTTTTTCCTGGCATCATTCTTGAAAATTCATCACTTTGATAAAAGTTAATCATTAAATTAACTGTTTCTGGTTAAAGTGGGTTTCCAGTTTTTTTCCCGGGTAATGATAGAATTCCATTCTCATTTTTAACTTTTCTTGCTGTTCGAACAAGATACTCAGACACTTCAAAGTAGCTTGATATCTTTTTACATGTCCATGATTTTGGTGCGAGTGTTTGTGGCAATGAATGTTAACATTTGCACCTTATGGCGATAAGAGTCAGTCTCTGAAATTTTATTTTTTATTTCATACATTAAAATGTCTAGACCATGGTCATTGTTAATGTTGTTGTTTAAAATGGGGCTTTTTATTTTTGTTGTGAAAAAAGTTTCTTTAATATTATATGCTAATGAGACCATTTTTGCAACTCTGTCAATAGTGTTCTCAAACTTTTGTTTTGCTACAGGCAATTTGCTGTGTTTTGAAAGACTTTTTAGTTTGACCGGTGAGATTCCAAGCAATTCTATAGTGGTATCTAACTTAATTTTTTTCTCACTTTTTGATTCCCATTCCTCCTGTGAATTTAAATCTTCATCAGTTTCTATTGCTTTTTTGTAACATTTACTGCAGAATTTCCAACCTGGGGTTACATAAACATTATTTTTTTGCAAATAGTTTGCCATGTCTATGGAAATCTTTATATTACCTAAAAAACAAATTTAGTTTTACGTTGTTAAAATAACTGAAATTATAAAACTTTTTATAAATAATAAATTGTTTTCTTTTAATTTCCATATCAATTCTGTTGTAAATAAGGTAAGATTACCTTTTATAGCATTTTTTTTACTTTCCTTGTGTGTTCCAAAAGGATTGCAACACTTTGTAATTTTTCTCTCAAAATATTTTCCATAGAATTGCTCATGATAACAACATATAATTCTTATTGAACTATATTTTTCCTTTAAATTTGCTTGCCATATTATTTCTTCTTGTTTTTCACAAGGAAGATCTTTAAATTGAACAAAATCTTGTTTTCTTGAAAATCCAGTTTTGTGGCAATGAATGTTAAGACTTTTTCCAATGTCACATTTCTCCATATTAATTATTTTTATTATTTATTACCTAACAAAATAATATAAAAACTATAAAATTAAAAGTAATTCTTTAAGAAAATACAAACAAGTAAATACCTTTGAAAAGAACAAAACAAAACTTATGTTTGTTTTTTATATAAAAGGAGGTTTTAAGTCACCAATTTGAAATAATGAAACTTTTTTTTTTCAAAATTAAAATTAAATTGTATGTTTTTGCATTATTTATTCATTTTATGCAAAGAAAAAAAAAAAAAAAAAAAATCTAGGGAGATTGGGGGAGGGGGCTTAGGGGCCTCCCGTGGGAGTGGAGGGTATCTCCCTTGGCCCATGACTATAAATGTCCTAAACTATTCAATAAATGACACTATTTGATGTTTTATTCAAATAAATGTTTTAAAAAATATTTTAATTGCTTTTGTTACAAAAATTAAATTTTTCTAAAAAGACACCATTTTTAAATGCAAATTTTGATCATGTATTAGAGAGACAATTGATGAATCTAATTTTTTTCAGTAGACCTAAGATGAAATAATGATTTACAATTAAAATTTTTACTCGGGATTTTGGGCCACAGTCTTTATTTTACCTCCAAAAATCACTAACTTACAAGTCAATAATTTTGAACAAAATTGGATAAATGAGGCATTTCTTGAGATAATCAAGTCTTAAGAGTGCTATTTTTGGATTCCTCAAGTTAAAATCTATTAGAGTACCAAATTTTAGGAAATTTCCCCAAGCCATTATGAAGATACTATATGTCAAAGTTGACATGTAGTATCTTCATAATGTATAGTATTTCAAGTGACAATATCTATGGAACACATTGGTATTTTTAACTAAAATTTTCGCAGTTATTATTTTTTTGATATGGACTGCAAGTGGTGTAAAAATAAACAAATTCTGAGACGTAAGGGTGTCATGGTCTGGATGATTTCATATATTTTTACCCTAAAGAAAAATTAAATTTTAAAAAGATTTTATTTTCGTTTAATTTATTAATTATAACTTTAATATAAAAACTTTAATAGGTGAAAATAAACCTCTATATCTAAAGATATGAGTTCACCAATATCATTGGAATAAATAAAAAATGTTTCACTAGATGCTCTTTTAAAAACAAAAGAAGAATTTCCATCAACATCACTTTCAGATTTTTTTATAAGTTGTTGCTTTTGAATTTTTCCGAGTGTACCACGAATTTGTACAAAAACCTAAAATTTAAATAACAAGTGTTAAAAATATAACTTTACTTTAATATTTTTTGCTCTAATATGATTTAAAAAAATATTTTTGTATACAAAATCAAAATAAATATCAAAACATTTATATAGTTGCTTATCTAGCAGCATTATCAAAGTCAAATATTGACAGTTTTAACTTCTGAATGTACTTTACAAGCATAACTACATGTAAAATTTAACACAATTTAACCAATCAAAAGCTAGATCTTAAACTAAAAATAACTTATAAACTGAAATCAATAAAATATGAAGTTTTTTTACTCTTCTGTTAAGTCAGTAAAAATGGCTTAAGCAGTGTTGTTAGATAAGCAACAAAATACATATGTATATATACCCTTGCATTTGTATAACTATTTTTTACATCTCCAGTCAATGTTGTGATGCTATAAACAGTTTTTGTTGCTAAAGAATTTTTAAAAAATCAGATTAGATATAACAACTTTAATAAATCAATGAATTTAATGCATGACTGCAATTACATATTTTAACAGTCTGACTGCTATGACAACTAAACAATTATATATTTTGTAATTGACAGCACAGGTTCACTACACATTTTAACTGTACATTATAAGACTCATTTAAATATAAAAAAAATTTATGTTTTTTTTCCTATTTTTATCTTTGAAAACTTCAAAATTAATTTTCAAAGATGCAAAAAGTTTTATAACATCATAACAAATTTATGTTCACAAAAGTGAAACAATTTTGATAATGCTATACTATTATTCATTATATTTACAAACTTATATTTTAAAATGAAAAAGATAGACAAGATAATATCTAACAAATTCACTTCCAACAAGGCTGTAAGCAACCACTATTTAGTTAAGAGTTTACAGAAAGCAAAGAAGAGAGTTGAAGAAAACAACTATGACAACAGAAAGAGTAAGGCAATTAAAAATGTGTCTCTATGATGACAGAAAGAGTATGGTAATTAGAAATGAACTGGAGAAAAAGTTCTTTGTGAATAACAGATGCCATTGATAATGACACTGGTAAAAATATGACATTTAATAATCTGAAGATAATAATTTTGAATCCATTTCTTACAATAATAAAAATATGTTCTCAAAAGTTTTTGAAATGATATGTTTATATTTAGAAATAGTAGCTGCAGAAGAAGATATAAACCTTGAGGTAAAGTGAGACTTAAAACTCACAAGAAGAATTAAACCATGGGGTAAAGTAAAACTTTACTTGAAACTCACAAAAAGAAATAAACTATGAGATAAAGTGAGACTTTACTTGAAACTCACAAGAAGATATAAACCACGGGTTTTAAAAAAATATGTTAAAAATTTATTGAAAATTTATCTTCACCCAATCAAAAATTACAATGTTCTAAGAAATGGTTCTACTACAAAATTAAAGACATTAAAATTAAAAAATTAAAATTATTGAAAACAGATATAGAATAATGTATATTGGAACAAAATTAAATACATTTACTATAGGAAATATAATATTACATACACGAGTAAAAATTTCAAACAATTTACCTTCTAGTTTTGTTTTCACATTTTTCTAAATTAAAAAAAAACTAATCAAAAAAAAAATTTAAAAAAAAACTTATTCATATCTTGAAACATATATAAAAATAACAAAAAGTTTAGAATTTAAATTATTAAAAACAATAATACTTTTCCACCATCCAATAAACTTGCTTTCAAACCCAATTTTCTTTCATAATAAGCAGCTAAATGAGGATCTTCAAGAGGATTATAAGCTGGCATTGTTATTGTCTTTCCATTCACAACTTTTGGATAGTTAACTGAATTAGTTGAGTTGGGTCGAGATGCATATGGTGCTTTCTTGCTGACATCAGATTCAAAAGGTTTGTGAGACAATGTGATGTGAAACTTTTTAATAGGTACAGTAGGATGTGCATTTGGGTTAGACCAAGGACTTCGCATTCCTGGTGTACATATATTCATTTTTATAGACAAATGTCATAATAATAATAAAAATTTAAATAATAAATTTATAAAAAAGTATAAAAACCACACATATATATATATATATATATATATATATATATATATATATATATATATATATATATATATATATATATATATATATATATATATATATATATATATAATAATAATAATAATAATAATAATTAAAAAAATGAAAGCATATTAATTTTTCCAATTTTATAGATGTAAATTTCACACAAATTAAAAATATGTATCAAAAGTAATTTGAATGTTTGTCTTTTTTTAAAAGCAATTATATTGTCTTTATGAACCAAACTATATTGTGTTTATGAACCAAGTCAGTAACAACTTTTCAAATTGTCATTGAAGTATATGTTTAAAATAGTGTGGTAAACATGATCTACCCCTTAATCCAGCAGGTGAAACATAAAAATACTTCATGCTTCATTACAATATTGAGAACAAATTTAGCTGCTTTTCTGTCTTGCAGTTTTAAACTTTTTATAATATCAAAAACACAATCAGTATGTGCAAAAGCATCATAAACATGATCAATAAGCTATGATGATGGTACTATCAGTCCACCTCTTGATAAAATATTCAAATAACATGTATCTTTTATGCAACATTCTCTAAATTTTTTTACTAACTTTTTTGCAACATACCCAGCAATATACACTTCAGGAGACTCATCAGAGAGTATAACTTTTTCGAAATTAATATCTTTAATTTCATTTGAAAATTTATCTGAACGTTTCGTCTTATCAGCTTTGATATCATTTTCTATAATATTGATTGATTCTTTTACCAAATTTTTTATTTTTATTATTCTTTCATTATATAAAACATCCTTACAGCCATCATTTAAAAAGTCTTTTTAAAACTCGGGTGTAAAACTTTATTGAAAAGGAGCTTTTCTTAAATTTGCATCCAAGTTTCCATCCTTTTTATAAACATCGTGGAACAGCTTCGAGAAATTTCACAAAACTTGATAGTAATATCATCAAAAAAATAACAAAAATTTAATTAAGGAAAAATTTATCTTGTTCTATTCAACAAATTTGTAGCATTTTTATCAGGTGTTTTCTTTTAACCCTGTTTTTATAAAACATACAATACTTCTATAAAGTTCATTCTTATCATTGGCACCAATAAAAATTCCTCCAAAATACTCTGTGCACTTTTGAAAATACATTTCATCAAATAAAACACTAATACTTTTTGATAAAGCATTATTTCCATCAATAATTTTGCAACTTTCAACAAATTAATTTTATCTTCTTTTATCTTGTTTAAAAGGGAAATAGAAGGTAAGGTAAAACTTTCAAGAAGAAGTTTATATGATAGAAGTGAAGTATAACATGGCAGTAAAGCATATTGGATAGTATCAGCTAAATAAACTTGACTTATATTAAATTGATGTTTTTAAGGTTTATCTGAAAAAAAAATTTTTCTGCTTGTCTCTTAAGATATGATGTCCCTTAAGATATGAAAGTTTTTAAGCATGCTTTTCTTATTAAGTTTACAATTGTTTCTATGCCTGAACCAATGTGGCAAGGAAAACAGGAAAACTTTAGCAAACATTCATCATTCAATTATAAAAAACAACAAAACCGATATATTTTGAAAAGGTTTATCCCGGTGGGCTAGAGTTGCAACCCCAAAAAAAACGGTGTGTTTTTTTTATAAAAAACACGCCGTTTTTTATAAAAAAATTTATAAAAATTTTATATTTTTATAAAAAAAACTATAAAAAACATGTTTTTAGAACCAGTCTGTTTTTTTTTGCAAAAAAAACAGACTGGTTCTAAAAACATGTTTTTTATAGTTTTTTTTGCTTTTTTTTAGTATTCATTAAATTTTAGATAATAATAATACTTGAAACAGTTCCAGTGCCCTTAAACCTACAAAATACAAATGTTTTCTATTTAATAAAATGCATATTAACTTATATAATAGCTGTTACAAACTAATCACCAATGTTAAAAAAAAACAGTATTAAATATTTAAAAAAGTAATTTTTTAAATAAATCTCAAAAAAACTATACTATTAGCTACTAGTTGATTGTAAGTATAATACTACTGAATGAAGGAAATAAAAATGTTATTTTAGCAGTGTTATTTCATTCATAAAAATGAATGAAATAACACTGCATTGCAAAATACAAAAATGAACCAACTGTTAAATAAACTTTACTTAAATGTTTTATTTACTTTTGTATATTACTTTTTTAAATTTTTAATATTTAATTTCTTTATTTTATTTTAAATTGCAATTAGATAGCTAAAATTTTATTTATTCAAACAATATTCAATTAAATAAAAATAACATAATGATTAAATTTGTCTAATGAAAAAACATTTATATTAAACAATTTGTAATCTATTAATTATTTTTAATTAAAAAAAAAAAAAGAAATCTAAAAAAAAATATGCCAGGCAGAAAGAAATGTTTTGTAGCTACATTGTTCAATGAGGCACCTTTAGAATCTGGAGGTTCTAAAATTCAACAAGTTATATGCAAATTTTGCAGTATAAAGCTATCAAAAAATGGCACTCGAATGACTGAGCACATTGCAAAATGTATGAAATGTGGCGATCAAATAAAAAACAAATATTTGAACGATATGCCTTTTAAACAGAAGAAAGTTCAAACTGAACTAATGATGGAAGAAGATATTCCTGAAAACTTACCTATTCAAGATATGAAAAAAAAGAAAAAAATATGTTTATCATCTGCTATTCCACAAGTTCCAATTGAGTCTTTCTTTCCAACACCAAGCTGTTTTGGAAACCAAAGTAGGTCTACAACCCCTAAGTTTGGAGACTGTAAGGCAAATAAAACCAAATCAGATAAGCCTCCCTTAAAATGATTGTATTCTTCAACAAGAGTTCCATTCACAACTCAGAAAAATAAAATTGCATCCTACATTTTAGGAGAGTACAAGAGTTTAGAGTCAGAGTTATCAAGCGACTCTGAAGAATATGGATTTGACTTTACAATAGAAGACCTTAATGAACAAGAAAGCCAGAATACAGAATCTGTTATTAATTAAAAATAAATCTTTTAAATGATGTACTATATATTTACCATATATCATGTTATTAATATATATTATATTACATTTATAATAAAAATAAAAATTAAATAAAATTAAAAATTTTTTTTTTATCTAAAAAACGAAAAAAACCATAAAAAACACAAAAAACACAAAAAAAACATGTTTTTTTTGCAAAAAAAACACAATTAAAAAAAAACGGTTTTTTTTGCAACTCTACGGTGGGCTGTCTGCTTCATTGATTGATTCTAAAACAAATAAAGAATCATTTGTTAAAAATGATTGGTACTCATCTTCTTGAAAAACCCTTTTTTTTAGGAAATAGATAAATTTCCTTTTCTATAGGATTTCAAAAATTGTATGGAAAAGAAAAGTGCTAGCAAACATACGCTATAGAAGAGATTACTTCAACATTAACATTATTGTAAGTGTTATCATAAAAATTATCTTAAAGAAAATAAAAAAAAGATAGGACATAAAAATGATTATTTTTTGCCAAAACTAAACTGGATGTTCTTTTATACAGTTATTCACAAAAGTTTAAACGTATTGGAAACGTGTTTAATTTTATCAATCAAACAGTTATATGGTAGAAGAAAGCAATTCATCTTTCAACAAGACAGGGTTCCAGCTCATACAGCTAAATCAATCAGAGAATATTTTTTGTAGAAAAAGATTATTGTGATCCCTTGGTGCCCTAGATCACCAGATTTCAACCCAATTAAATATATTTGGTCTTGGATCGACAATCAACTTACTTATCACCAAATACAATCAACTGAGCACTTAAAGCAACTTTTGAATGAGTACTGGTTCAAGGTACCTCGAAAGATGTGCATGAAATTAGTTGAATCGATGCAGAAACAAGTTTATCTTTCCTATAAAAACAAAAGCAGACATTTTAAATATTAATTTTGCATTTTTTTTTTCCATTTTTTGTTTGTTTGTAAAAATTCGTTTAAACTTTTGTGCTACTCAATTTTCACATATGTATTTTTATAATTAACCTTTTTTTAATTAATATAGATAAGTTCATAACAAGTTCACATTTATTGTAAACCTAATTACTTTTTCTTTAATAAATAAAAAAAATTAAGTCGACATCATTTTTAATTTTTTTTTTATTAAGAAAAAACTAAACCTACTTGACCAAAATTACACCCTCGTTTAAATTTTCGCAAATAGCTGTACATACGTATGAATGATGATTTTTGCAGTTTAAATGATAGATGATATTTTTTTATTAAAATACGCTTATTTTTATATTTGCTGTTTTAAGTTTAAAATATAAGATAAAAATTATTTACATAATAGATATTTTCATATAAATTCAATATGAAAACTGATTGTAAAAATAACTAAACTACTTAAGTTTGCAATTCATAACACAAAACTGCAAAGACAATATAAAAATAAACAACCCAAAAAAATTGTTCTTTGCTCACTACATTTTTAAACAACCAAAACTGTCAACCAATAAATTTTCATAAACTAAACTATGACCATCTTTTATAGATCAAGAGACCACTATTTTCATGTTTAGGTCTTTTAAATCATCTTTTTTACTAACATGTAAACTCACCAACACTTCATATAACTAATAAGAAAACTTTAGTAAACTTTCTAAATTTAAGGTTTATTCATGGATAAACAAAGGCAGAAGTTGTTTCAGTTAAAGAAAAATATATAAATTTCTGTAATTAATGTAAATTATAAGCAAATAGTGTTTCTATTAAAATTCTTAAAGCAAAATTAAAGAAAACCATATATATATATATATTTTTTTTTTTTTTATTTTAATTCACCTCCTCAAGGCCGAGAAGGCCACTACAGACGAGGAGGCTACTTATTTGTGGCTATAACCCTCTCTCAACTCTATAACTCCGAAACACGAACCTTGACGAACAAGGCCGCTGCGCGGAGAAACGAGTTGAGCGCGGTACTACCAGGGACGTGGTGGGGATCGAACTCGGAACCACTCGTTTATGAAGCTAATATTAACTGCTAATAAAACTAAACAAAATTTTACAATATTATGATTTAAAACAAGTTTTATTTATTCTTTTAATAATTAAGATTCAAAACAAATTGTAAAAGATATCATAAATTAAAAAAAAAAAATTGTTAAAGATTTTTAAATTTTTGTGACTCCTACATGGTGAGATTCTCATACTTCAAATTTCAACTTAAGATTTCAAAGAGATTACAGAAATAATTTATTTATATATTTTTAGAAATGCCTTTAAAAAAAATGACACTCAAACTCCATTTTGGATAATAATCAAACCTAACATTACATCACTATATATATGTATTTGTGTATGTATGTATGTACGTATGTTTCCATACATACATACATACATACATACATACATACATACATACATACATACATACATACATACATACATACATACATACATACATACATACATACATACATACATACATACATACACACAGACATTATGAGATTTTAACTGTGCATCATTAGTTTATAATTAGAGCATTCTACTAATGCGCCACATTTTTATTTTCTAAAAACTTTTGACTACTGTTAGTTCAAACTGTTTTATTTGTTTTTTTGATAATTAAAAACAATTTTCAATAATTTTATTAATATAAAATTTGAAAACTAATTATTTTTTTCTTTTACAAAGAAAATAATGTAAAGATAAAAACCTCCAGCTGGAATGGCAGTCATTGGTCGCTTTCTAACTAAAACAGGATCATTTTGAATTAGAGTTTTAACAGCAATGGAATTCATTGAAACAAACACATTCAAAATAACCTAAAAATAGGGATATAGATATAAATAAGAGGATATATATATATATATATATATATATATATACATATATATATATATATATATATATATATACATATATATATATATATATATAATATATATATATATATATATATATATATATTATTATATATATATATATATATATTATATATATATTATATTATCATATATATATATATATATATATATATATATATATATATATATATATATATATATATATATATATATATATATATATATATATATATATATATATATATATATATATATATATATATATATATACATATATATATATCAACCCTCGGAATTAGGAAAAATGAGGTTGCCAATATTTTGCCAAGGTCAATCTTTTTGAGGTCGGCATCAGGTCAACAAATAGTATTTGATACAAAGGTCTGACCATAAAACATAGAAACGAGGTCGGCAATTTTTTGCCTACCACAAACACTTTCAGGTCAACAGTTAGGTCGGCATTGCCGAATGCCGACCCTGATTCTGAGGGTTGATATATATATATATATATATATTTATATATGTACAAATAGTATTGCGTACTAAGGTAAGCAATCTGACGTCATACTGAAATAGCCTGCTGCTGGGGGCTTCAGTACATACATCGACTGACAAATAGCCTGACTCGCAGTGGAGTGCTGCTACATCGACTGAGGGTTTGGGATAGGGCAGCAATCGTTTCATTCATCATTCTTCGTTTTTTTTCTTCTTTTTCTAAAAAGCCGTATGGGTTAAGGTAAGCTAAAAAAGTGAGCAAATGCTTATAAAAATACGCTTTAGTAAATGTATATATATATCAGGGGCTATTCTAGACCATTTTCAATAGCGTCGACCGTATTTGGGCATATTTGGGCGCCGTCTAAATGAAAATTTGAAGAACTTTTTTTTTTTTTACGTTTTTTACAGGAAATATTTTTTTTCCGCAAAAAAAAACCCAGATTTTCTGTCAAAGTTTGCCGTTGAGTGTGTCCTCAAGTATTTATATCATAAATACTTGAGGACACACTCAACGTCTCATCAAAGAGTTCTTTAGTGCTTCAGGCCTCAACAACAACATGCGAGCTATCTCTACTAGGCTTAATTTCTTTCCTAACAAAGTAATCAACCAATGGAATTTACTCCCACAAACTGCAATTGACTCTCATAACCTAAATGGATTTAAAAATTGTATTGACAAACACTCATTTACTTTGTGTTACTAATTTGATTTTCTTGCTGCAGCTTATCATTATCATATATATATATATATATATATATATATATATATATATATATATATATATATATATATATATATATATATATATATATATATATATATATATATATATATATATATATATATATATATAAAGTAGCATATACATTTGTAACACAAAAAGAAAAAAACATTCTTTTTTTTTTTCCACTGTTTCTATCAATGCTGATAACATTTTTTGTTTTAGAAACTAGCTGGATAACCATATCACCAGGTTGTTAAATGTTACAATAAATTTCAACTGTTACTGTTGAAATGGAATTGTTGCTATTGATGTTAGCAGTTAAATAGCAGTTGAAATTTATTTTTTTTGGAATATAAAAAAATTACATTCAAAACTTAGCATTGACATATTGTCCATCATCAAAATTAACTTGATTACTTCTAGCAGAGTACATGTTGCTTTATATTTTTAGAGCCGCTTTGACATTTTTTTTTTATTTTTTTATTTTATAACTTTAATGCTCTTGTTTCTTTCAAAATTTTAATATTTTTGCAAAGATTTAATATAGATTGATGTTGAGATAAAAGTTAATTTATCTGCATTTTATTTTTACCTAAATATACTTTAAAACAGTTACAAGTTTGAAACAGATTTCACTGTTTGAACCATACTTGCAGGCTAATCCTTTATTTATACAACGACATACCAGTATCTAATATTGGTAATTAAGATAAACCATTGTTATTTAGTTTTTTTAGTTGACTTACAATTAGTTCATACTTGTTATTACATCGTCATGGCTACTAATAATAGAAAAACTTGCCAAAATTCAACTTTAGGAATGATTGAGATAAATATATCAAAAAGCTAATGTTTTATTCAATTGCAAAAAACATTGTTATTGGTAAGCAATAAAAGGCAATTCTATCAAATTTGTAATATATATAAACCTGTAAATACTTACTAACACCAGGAAAAATAAATTATTTAAAGCATTTAGTTTTTCAAATCATTTATTTCAAGACAAGTAATTGGCAACATTTATTTTCAAACTGCATTTGACAACATACTTGTTGATTTGCCACAAGTAGTATGTGTACTGACTCTATAATATAAAGGAAATTACTGAGTGAAGAATTTAGTCTTTGTTACAAAAAAACCAATAAAAATTGCACTAACTTTAAATTCATCTACAGCCCGAAAAACAAAATTTCGAGGTCATCAAAATCTAGTTAACACAATAGCAAACATATAAAATTGAATTTAAGCCAGAAAAATCAACTAAACATAAATGCTTTCATTATGGGGGTAAACATACTTCAGAAATACACCAATTTAAAGGTCAGTAGTGCTTTTATTGTAATAACAAGAGATACACCATATAGACACCAAAAAGTACAGCAGCTTAGCACAAGCTCAAAAAATTTATTGAAATTTAGAAGTCAAATGAAGTAAAACTGTACCACATTTATAAAATCAAAACGTCTGATAAAAAAACTTTTATGATTGGTGTTAAAATTGAATATTTACAAACGGAGCTTGTGTCATGTTGCTGAAAGTTGAAAATACCAGAAAAATAAACACTTTTAAAAATTAAAAAAAATTAAACAAAAAACAAAACAAATGAACAAGCAAAAAAAACAAGTATACATTTTTATTTTATTTTATTTTTGTCTATTTGTTGTTTTTTGTATTATTATTTTTTGTTTGTTTGTTTTTGTTGTTTTTATCATTTTTTTGTCTTTTTTTTATTTTTAAGTTCAACCTGCGGACTAATTCATAGTTATTTGGGTAAATAAAATTTTAAACTTTAAATAGTACGGTAAAATAGAACAACGAAATTTTAATTTATTAAACTAAAAGATTTTAATATAATGAAAATCATTACATTAAAAATCAAATTTATAAACAAACCTGAAATATGTATAGCACACAAAGCGTAAATCAAAGAACTTTTTTATATCGCAACTACTTTTTAAAATATTATGCTTTAATAACCGCAAATAATAAAGGGTATAAATATTAATGTTGCATATAATCATTATAAGATATAATTGTGTTTAGATTGTATCTAAGGATGCCATTTTATATTAAAACAAACTATTTGACGAGAGCCGATATTTACCGAAATGCCCAATTATACTAATTTAGGTCACAATTTAAAATTAATAACGTACGTGTGCGTACACACTTGCGCAATTGTTTAATCCATTTATTAAAATAGGACGTCGAGGCAACAGGCTTATCTAACTATAATTAAAAAAAAAAAGATTTCTGCCCATCCTAATTTTCACAGTTTAAAAAAAAAGCTATTATTTATATAAAATTAAATAAATATGGACAACACAGTTTCAAGAAACTTACGTATCATTAATTGTTTTGCATTCAAGCTGTGTACTACCGTTGCTTAGTTTAATTTTTAAAATGTTTTTTGCCATCTAGAATACGCAGATATTCTGGATGGCTAACAACATATTCAAAATAACAACATATTCATAACATAAAGATACTAACAAATATTCAAAATTCAAACTGAATGAATGATAAAAAGTTTTGCACTTTAAGCTCCGCATGTTCAATATATCATTTTATGTGTGTGATTGAATTTTGCTAATATAACTTAATGTAGAATGTAACTTTAAATTATTAAACAAAGGTTTATGAATTATTAAATAATAATACTTTGTTATAATTTATTTTTTAGCTTTACTTATTAATTTATTTGCTTTTATGCTTTACTTTTTTTAGGGTCAACAACATTGCTGTTAATGCAGAATGTTTAGGAAGTAGTAGTTAGTCGTAGAGTGGTTAGTCTTATTTTTAAAAGATTTTTAGTTTAACATAGATAACGTTAAACTAAAAGTCTTTTAAAAATCGAAAACCTTCAATATTTGACGCTGTTACTAACATTGGAAAATTTAACTCTCCATCTCTCATACATGAATCTGATTTTATAACCTCTCTCAAGAATAAGGCAGAACTTTATGCAAAGAACTTTTCCTTTTTAATTTATCTTTTAAATAACTAAACTAGAAACACTTTAACTCATTAATAAACATTTACATAAATCCAGATACCACTGTTGTTATTTCTCTTCGAAACTCTTCTACTATTTGTAGTTCCGAAAACATTATTCTGAAAGTCTTAAACTTGTGTTCTCCTGAACTCTTTACAATACTCACTAAGCTATTTAACAATTTTACTAAATCTTTTTTGCATGCCTGGTGAAAAATGATATTTGTGTTTCCAATTTTTAATATATCTAAAGTATACTCTAACCCGTCTAATTATTGTCCCAATAACATTCTATCTATTTTTAGCAAAGTCTTTAAGTCTTTAATTAACAAACTTCTAATATTTTATCTTAAGTTCACGAGTTTAACAACACTAGTCAAACAACACGGGTATTAATTTTCCTTCTTTACGGCTGACTTGTTAACTGCTACATAAGAAAGGTTTTATTAAGCATTTGATGGAGACGGTGATGCAAAGCCAATTGCTCGTGTTATATCAATAGAGTTGGTATCCTGGTCTTCTCAATAAACTTACTTTATTAGACATGGAAAAATATTTGAGGTTATTAAATCATTTCTTACTGACCAAAGTGTTCTAGTCATCCTAGAAAGCCAATACTCTTCTTTATTTCTAGTAGCTTCTGGGGTGCTACAAAGTTCTACCAAGGTCCTATATTGTTGTTTATCGATATAAATAATCTACTTGATAGCCTTACATACTTGATAGCCTTACAAAGTAACTGACGCCATATTTGCTGACGACATAAATATATAATCCAGTCTTGACAAAAAGTCATCACTTTTTTGTAATAACTTTTTGATTGATTGCTTAGAAAAGGCAGCTGATAATAAACCTAATATCTGGTCAGGTCATACAGTGACTTGTAAATTTTAACCCATAAAAAACTTAATTTTAACAAAAACTTGGTTTAAACTAACTACTACTAACAATTGTTGTTGGTGTTCTTTTCTTGATAAATCGAAGTACTCTTACTGAGTTCTCTACTTTAAGTCTTCTCGAATTGTCTATTCCAACTGATCTCTTTTAGAAACCATATACAAAGAAACTAGAAAATTGTGAAACTTTTCAAACAAAGTTGCTGAATGGCATTGTCAATGTCATGAGTCTATATTTAAATCAGATGTAAAGTTTTTTAATATTCTTTACAAAAAACTACGGGCTAAAAAAAAGTTGTTTAAACTGCATTAAACCACTTTTTGAAATAGTTATACCACATTGCAGTAAGGGTAAAAACTGCTAAAGAAAAGTAAAGAAGGTAACCGTAAAAACTGCTCCAAAGACAGCAAAACAAAGTTGTTTAAATTGTACGCAAGAAAGCAGAAATGTTCCGTGAATCTTCTTCTAATAGTGGTATCAATAACAATAGATTTTTTTTTTTAACAATATATTGTTTTTTTTTTAAATCAAAAAAAGAGTCAATCTGTTCTCCAGTTTGTAAGGCAGAAGACCAAGATAACTTTTCTGCTTTGTTATCTAAGTTCAACATTTTTCTGAGCATTAATCAGCATGTTGCTAACAAAAAATTTGATCGTAATAAAATAAAGAAGTTTTCTTATGGACTAATTATGTTCCTTAAACAGGCGGATGTGCATTTTAGGTACCCCCTTTAGTAAATCCGTAAAAAAGTTATATACAAAAAGAATATTGTTGAAAACCATATCCTAACCAAACCGTAACCATGACCTTTAGGGTTAGGCTCAGGGTTTGGTCCAGTGTTTTAGTTAAGGTTTCAACAAAATAAACTTTATTTTAGGTTTCAAGGTTATAGTATGGTTTTCAAGAAAAGACATTTTCATATGCAATGAACATCCTCAGCGTCAATGAGACATTACCTTTTTTTTTTAATTATTTTAATTTCTCAAAAAAGATCTAAAGCATTTTAATAGAAAGTTCACGCCTGTTGCTTATCTGAGCTCAGCCCAATTCCGGGCTAAATCCAGATAAGCAATTAGCGTGAACTCTTTAATTAATGCTTATCACTTATCTGGGCGCCAGATAAGCGTGATTTTAAATAGTTTTATTAAATAATAAGATTTTAAATAAATGCAGAGGCATTCCAACCCAGATAAGATTGGTTTAAAGAAATAAAGGTCTTAAATAGAAGTTGACATTTTTTTATAAATATTATCTCAGAAAGATTTTTTTACTAACTAACTATAAAAGTTATTCTTTATTATTTTTTAATTGAAATGTGAAACTTTTTGAAATTTTGGACATTAGGCCAGTAATTATATATATATATATATATATATATATATATATATATATATATATATATATATATATATATATATATATATATATATATATATATATATATATATATATATATATATATATATATATATATGTATATATATATATATATATATAGTTTATATATATATAGTTTATATATATATATATATATAGTTTGTATATATATATAGTTTATATATATATATATATATATATATATATATATATATATATATATATATATAAGTTTATATATAAGTTTAATTTTGCTGTGAGCATATATTCAGCAAGAGTGCTCAATGAATGATATCAGAGCTACATAATTGATATTTTGATTTTTTGACGAGATTAAATAAAATAACTACATAATTTTTACAACTAAAAGTTTTATGCGTTTTGCAATATGAGGTAAAAAAAAATAGTTTTTTTTTTTGTTAAAAAATATACTCTAAATAAACATCGTGACGTTCAAAAACAATTATAAAGCTGTTACTATTTGCGAGCGTGGTTTGGTTTTTTAACCTTTGGGCTCGTTGTTGTCAAGCATGAACTTGTTTTCGTGACGACTCTTTGATATTATTATTATTTTTTTTTTTTTGTATGTATTTAGGTGCTCCCAGAAGTCCTTACGGTCTTATCATTGAGCACCGCGGGAGAGCATTTAACAGGAAGTTCACGCCTACTTCCGTACCAATGTCGCTTGTTGGGCTAGAACCTCGAACCTCTGGGTTCTGAGCCAGAACTCTAACCACTGCGCCACGGCTGCTCAAATATTTCATTTAGCAATTCTTTTTTTTTTATTTAACAATTCTATTTATTTAACAATTCTTGCGTACTTTACCATATTATGCAAAGTTTTTCATGAAGGCAAAGCAAGCAGTTTTTTGTTACATTGCTGTAGACGGGGACTTGTTTAATTATTGACCAGGTTAACTTGGGTGTTATTTTAAGGTTTTCTTTTATCTCAGATAAAGATAATATCTGCCATATATACTTTGAAAAGGTGGTTGAATTTTTCATCTTTTTGTTTGTGAATGAGTATTTGTGGATAGCCCATCTTTTCTTCCATTCATCTTTTGCTAGGCCAATATATACTTTTTCTGATGTATTAGGGTGAGATACTATACATTTATAAATAACATTAGAGGCTCTACATTTTCCTATTATAGGGCAGTTTTCTTTATTTATGCAATTGCAGGGTGGGTATTCTTTTGGTATTTCTGAATTGATTTTCTTGTTGTGGCTTTTTATTATTCATTCAATATTTTTGGTGCAGCTATATTCTCATTTTGATAGTGTTTTGATTGAATAGTTTACTTAGGGGGTGTTGGAAAATGTTTGTCGATTAAGTTTAGGAAGATATCTCCCAAATTGGTAGAAACGCTTTTACTATACGAGGGGTTGAACCGTATTATATTTCTTTTTCTTTTCTTTTTTTCTTTTTCTTTGGGGTTTTGTTTTCATTGGGTTTTATACTTTAAATTAAAACAAGTGAAGCCATTTCTTCTTAATTCATCTTTGTATTCTGGTATAGATAAGTTAAATGTTTTTTGTTTGAGAAATTTTGTGATAATCTGTCGTTGATAGAGATGGGGATTTGCTTTATTATTTGCGGATGATGATTGGAATCAGTGTGACTGTTACGTAGATATTCTTTTGGTTTTTTGAAAGGTTGGTAGGAGTTTTTTTTTTTTTAAAGTTAAAAGATCATCTAAGAAGTTGACTGGGGGTAGGTTTGTTTGGATCTCTATTTTAAAACCGATCATTTTTATAACTCTAATTATGTTTTTTCGTATGCTATTAATTTGTGATCCTGTTTTTTCATGAAGTATCAT